GAGGAGGGGGAGGAGGCGGAGGATAAGGAGGAAGAGGCAGAGGAGGAGGAGGAGGAGTGGGACGAGGAGGATGAGGAGGAGGAGGAGGATGAAGGGGAGGACGACGAGGAGCAGGATATGGGGGAGGAGTTGGAGGGGGGGAGGGAGGAGAAGCAGTTGGAGGAGACAATCGGAGAAGGGTGAGGAGTCGGAGAAGGATGATGATGATGCTGATGATGATGATGCAGATGATGCTGATGATGCTGATGATGACGATGCCGATGATGCTGATGATGCTGATGAGGATGGTGATGATGATGATGCTGATGATGATGATGATTCTGATGATAATGGTGCTGATGATGATGATGCTGATGATGCTGCTGCTGATGATGAGGCTGATGATGATGATGACGATGCTGATGATGATGATGATGCTGCTGATGATGATGATTATGATGATGATGATGATGCTGCTGCTGATGATGATGATGATGCTGCTGATGATGATGCTGATGATGATGATGATGATGATGATGATGATGATGATGATGATGATGCTGATGATGCTGCTGATGATGATGATGCTGATGATGATGCAGATGCTGCTGCTGATCATGATGATGATGATGGTGATGATGATGATGATGATGATGCTGATGATGATGATGAGGAGGAGGAGGAGGAGGAGGAGGCGGCGAGGAGGAGGAGGCGGAGGAGGAGGAGAAGGAGGAGGAGGAAGAGGAGGAGGAGGAGGGAAAGGAGGAGAATACGAGAAGGGGGAGGAGGGAAGCGGAGGAGGAGGAGGAGGAAGAGGAGGAGTTGGGGTATGGGAGGAGTGAGGAGGAGGAGGAGTGGTAGGAGGAGGAGGAGGAGGAGGAGGTAGGGGAGGAGGAGGAGGAGGAAGAAGATGGTGATGCTGCTGCTGCGGTTGATGACGATGATGTTGTTGTGTTTGACTGATGATGATGATGATGATTGTTGATGATGATGGTGGTGATGATGATGATGATGCTGATGCTGATGATGATGATTTGATGATGATGGTGATGATGATGATGATGATGTGAGATGCTGATGATGCTGCTGATGATGAGATGAGGATGATGTTGATGATGATGATGATGATGATGATGATGATCGATTTGATGATGCTGATGCTGATGATGATAAATGTTGATGATGATGATGATGATGATGATGATGATGATGTTGTTGTTGATGCTGACGATGATGTATGATGATGACGACGATGATGATGATGATGATGATGTTGCTGATGATGATGATGATGATGATGATGATGAGTATTGATGATGATGATGAGATGATGATGACTGATGATGATGATGATGATGATGATGTGATGATGATTGATGTGATGATGATGATGAGGAGGAGGAGGAGGAGGAGGAGGAGAAGGAGCGAGGAGGTCTGTGGAAGGAGGTGGAGGCAGGGGCAGGATGGGGGAGAAGTGGAGGGGGGGAGTGAGGGGAAGAAGTTGGAGGCCTTCACGAGGAGAAGGGTTGAGGAGTTGGAGAAGGAGGATCGTGGGCGGAGGAGGAGGAGGAGAAGTGAGGAAGGAGGATGGATGAGGAGGCTTGGAGGAGGAGGCGGAGGAGGAGGAGGAAGAGGAGGAGGAATGAGAGGGGAGGAGGAAGGGAAGGAGGGAGGATGATGAGGAGGTGGAGGAGGAGGAGGAGGAGGAGGAGCGAGGTGAGGTGCAGGAGGAAGGAGGGGGAGGAGGAGGAGGAGGAGGAGGAGGACGGCAGGAGGAGGAAAAAGAGGAGAAGGATGAGGAGGAGAAGGAGGAGGAGGAAGAAGGGGAGGAGGACGACGACGGGAAGGATGGGGGAGGAGGGAGGAGGAGAAGGCTGAGGAGTTGGATGAGGAGGAGGAGGAGAAGGAAGAGGAGGAGGATGAGGAAGAGGTGGTGGAGGAGGAGGAGGAGGAGAAGGAGGAGTTGATATGTCCTCCCTCTCTCTATTTATGTATCTTTTTTTGTTTCTCTATCTCTCTCTCTCTCCCCCCCTCTCTCTCTCTTTTGTCTCTCTCTCTCTCTCTCTCTTCCTCTCGCCCTCTCTCTCTCTCTCTCTCTCCCGGTCTCTCTCTCTCTCTCTCTCTTTCTCTCTCTCTCTCTCTTCCTCAAGTTTACCGTCCGCGCGCGCTTGCCGCGCTGTCGGCAGGGCGAGAAGCTGCAGGTGCAAGGGCGTCCTCCTCGCCTCGCCGCGTCCTCGTCCTCCTCGACGTCGTCCTCGGCAGGAGGAGTCCCGCCGACTTCGGCCTCTTACCCTTGCGTCTGCCCCACTTTTCCGCCTCCTACTTCCTCGCCTCCTCCTCCTCCTCCTTCTCCTCCTGTTGTCATCCTCCTCCCACCTTCCTCCTCCCTCCCTTCTCCTCCTGCTGCTCCTCCTCCTCCTCCTCCTTTTCCTCCTCCTGCCGTCATCCTCCCACCTCCCTGGTCATCCTCCTCTGTTGGTCTTCTGTGTGGCCTTATTGCCTTCTTGGGATAATTCAGCTGATCATTAGGGTGGATTTCGGCTCCTGAGGCCGTCCTGGAGGCCATCGATCAGACATAGCTCGGCGAAGGGCCCAACCCAATGCAGCTGCGTGTGCCACAGGGCGTGGCCCGTTCCTCTCATACTACGCGCCTTTTGAGCGGTGTGCCGAAAATGGGTGGGGCGGTGCATGCGAACATTTTCACCGGGGCCGTAGTGGGGCGCCTTGTGGGGGCACGAAGCGTGTGAGGTGTGTGTGTGTGCGTCGAGATAGGCGGGGTGGCGCATGTGAACGTCTCCACAGGGGCCGTAGGTGGAGCTCCCTTGGGAGCGCAGAACGTGGTAGGAGGGAACGGAGGACGGGACGTGCGGTGCGCCAGAGAAAAGCGGGTACCCCCAACAAAACAGGAGGGTTGGGAAAACGGGATTTTTGATTCCCGCCGCAACCTCCCTTGGAGCCACATAAGTCGTCTCTAAGGGCCACTTTTCAGGATATCTGGAAATGCTGTTGGACGCCTCAGGGGGCATTCCTGGGCCCCTTGCTCGGCTCTTCTCGTGGTCCTCTTGGGTTATATCGGGCCAACCTTGAGACATCCGATGCTGACCGAAAGCCGGCAACACGAAAAGGCCAGTAACACCCGAATGCTTCAGGAGATTCCGAGGCCACCTCAGAGCCGTCTTGAGGCTTGGAGGCCAGTGGGAGGCCACCTTGGGCCACCTGGAGCCATCTTGCGCCACTCTGGAGGCCATCTGCGGCTGCCTGGGCCCCTCTTGGAGCCCTCCTGGGTCTTCTTGGGGCTCGCGACCTCCTGGGGGCCCTCTCGGGTCTTCTGGGAGCCCTTCTGGTCCAGGCCCCCCGTGGAGGGGGGTATGGGCCGGGGTTCGGCGGCGCTCCTGGGGGGACGCTAGAGTCTAGGCCTCCTAGATTTAAGTCGGGCATGTCCCTATACAGGCGGATTTTGGACGAACAACTAAAAATATGCCCCAAAAATGCCCCACAACTATGCAAACATGGTCCCAAAATAGTCCCCGGACTACTTTTTGGACTATTTTCGAATATTCCTCCTGTAGAGGGACAGGCCCGACTTACTCCTAGATGCGGTCGGAGTAGGTGGGGTCGGAGGATCGCACCGCATCGTCGATGCATCGCCGATGCGGCTCGATGTGCAGCCCGATTTGCTTCACGTCGACGTCGCCGATGCACCGCCGACGTCGGCGATGCATCGCTGGTGCATCACCGATGCGTCGCCGGTACATCGCCGATGTATCGCCGATGCGGCACGATCCTCCGACCCCATCTACTCCGACCCCGATCTAGGAGGCCCCCAGGGCGCCGCGACGGGACAGACAAGGTCCCCCGAGGATGCAACAAACGCGAGAAGGGGCAGTCCCTCTCAGAAGGCCGTGGGGCTTCTCGGAAACCCTCCGGCCTTCTGCTTCCGGATCGGCAGCGAGAGGTCGCCTCCCCAGATCTCCGACGGCATGACTTCTTACCACCTGGGCGGATTTCCTCGATTTCGGGCCTACGGGGGCCGTTTTTTCGGGCCCCGGGACCATGAACAAACGGATCCGCGGCGCGAAACTATCCTCGAGCAAGGGGTCGGGACCTCTGGGGCCGCGGATTGGCAACATCACATCGGAGGATGTCAGGGCATTTCGGAGGATGATCTGAGCAATTCCCGGAAGGCCCGAGGCCTTCCCGGCCTCGTGAGAAGGCCCGCCCCCTCTGCATTCCCCTGTGGCCTCGCGGCCTAGAAGGGGTTGTCCGGAAGAGCTGGGGCCCTGTATCGTCTGAGGCCCAGAGGGCGGGCGGGACTCGAGCGCAAGTGGATTCCACTGGACTTCCCCTGAGATCCGACGTCACGAGAACTGCAACACCTGAGGGAGTCACAGGAGCCCCAGACCCCATCTTTCTGCGGTAGTTGTCGGGCCGCATCGGTCCGTGCTGGTGGGACCGGATATAGGGCGAAATCGCCCCGTGTGGAAACGTTGCGACGCCAGGATCTCCGAGTTCCTCCCCAGACCTCTCCTGGGGTGCGTTCTGACGAGGATTTCGAGGCGAATCCAGCCGTGGCGACGAGGGCTTCCCAGGAGGCCCAAGAAGGCGAAAACGAGGGAAGGTTAGCGGGCATCGATACCTTTTCCTCCTCGTCCTCCTCGTCCTCTTCGCTGCGACGCCAGGATATCAGGGCCGACTCCCCCCGAACAGAAGGTGCTAGAGAGGATCGAATCCTTTTTCGGTCTTGGAGCTTACTCACCGGTTGCGTGGTGAGTCCAGCCTCAAGACCTACTCAGCTTGAAGCTCGAGCCTGAGTGACTACGGAAGTCTGCAGCAACAGCACACCACCATCTACAGTCGAGGTTGACCCTGTCAAATCAGGGGTATCCTTGTGTCCTGCGTTTCACGACCTATGCCTCCTTCCTTCCTGTGGCAGTGTGGCCCCCGGAAGAGTCTTGTATCCTCTCGTGTGTCCGTGTCCTCTCTACTCAACCTCGACTGTACCCCGTCCACTACAGGATCCGGCTTGAATAAGGAACACTTACTTTTCAAAAGGGGCTCGGTCGTTCCTTTGGTTTGCATGCGCTCCGCTACCTTTTTGGCGGCGAGCCCCCCTGGTCTTCCTTCGGACTTCGTAGAATCACTTGGAAAAAAGAGGCTTCCTTCCTTATTTATCGTTCCTTAGGTCAGGCGGGATCCTGTACTCCCAGGGGCAGCCATGCCGGTAGTCCTGTCTGCTCCAGACGCCGCGGCCGGCGTCGTGGCCGCGCTGGCGCTCGAGGACGCGCTGGCCGCCAGAGCCGCCGACTCCGCGCTGGCCGTGGCAGTGTCGTACGTCCTGGCAGCGCGCCGGCTGCTGGAGCTCGGGAGGAGGAGGAGGAGGAGGAGGAGGAGGAGGAGGAGGAGGAGGAGGAGAGGTCGCGTCGTCGTCGTCGTCGTCGGAGGAGGAGATAGGAGGAGCAGGGAGGATGAGGAGGAGGAGGAAGGAGGAGGGGAGGATGAAAAGGAGGAGGAGGAGGAGGAGGTCGCCGCCGGGCGCAGCATCGTTTACAAATATACTTGGTTTTGCACCCCCCCCTCAGAGGCACTGGCCCCTGGGGGGGAGGGGGCAGCATCCGACGGATCCTTGGAGGAGGAGGATGAGGAGGAGGAGGAAGAGGAGGAGGAGGAGCAGGAGGAGGAGGAGGAGGAGGAGGAGGAAGAGGAGGAGGAGAAGAAGGAGGAGGAGGAGAAGGAGAAGGAGGAGGAGGAGGAGGAGGAAGAGAGCCGAGTCAACCATTGTGGCAAGGGGGTCGCCGTCGAAGCGCGGCCCTTTGATTCCCCAGTTTCTGCGAGCTCACAGGCGAGCTGATCGTGAGCTGTTTATGAGCAGGGCGCGTTTGGTCGCAATGTGAGTCTCAGGAGGAGGAGAAGGAGGAGGAGGAGGGAGAGAAGATGGGAAGAGAGATTATGATGATGCTGATGATGCTGCTGCTGATGATGATGCTGATGATGATGATGATGATGATGATGATGATGATGATGATGATGATGATGATGATGATGATGAGTGTGATGCTGCTGATGATGATGCTGATGCTGAGGCTGCTGATGATGATGGTGATGATGATGCTGATGCTGATGCTGCTGATGCTGATGGTAATGATGATGCTGCTGCTGATGCTGATGCTGATGCTGATGATGAGGATGATGATGCTGATGCTGATGCTGATTTGATGCTGATGCTGATGATGCTGATGATGCTGATGCTGATGCTGATGCTGACGATGATGATGCTGAAGGTCATGATGATGCTGCTAATGCTGATGCTGATTATGATGCTGCTGCTGCTGATAATGATGCTGATGGTGATGATGATGGTGCTGATGCTGATTCTGATGATGCTGATGATGCTGATGATGATGCTGATGCGGATGCTGCTGCTGATGATGCTGATGATGCTGATGATGACTTTGCTGATGGTCAGGATGTTGATGCTGATGCTGATGATGCTCATGGTGATGATGATGATGATGATGATGATGATGATGATGATGATGATGATGATGATGCTGATGCTGATGCTGATGTCGATGCTGACGCTGATGCTGAGGATGCTGATGCTGCTGATGCTGATGCTGATGCTGATGATGCTGCTGATGCTGATGCTGATGATGATGATGATGATGAGGATGATGATGATGTTGATGCTGATGCTGATGGGGATGCTGATGATGCTGATCACGATGATGCTGCTGATGATGATGCTGTTGATGCTGATGATGGTGATGATGATGATGCTGATGCTTATTATGATGATGCTGATGCTGATGATGATGCTAAAGCTGATGGTGATGCTGATGCTGCTGCTGCTGATGCTGTTGCTGATGCTGATGATGATGCTGACGATGTTTATGCTGATGCTGCTGATGATGACGCTGCTGATGGTGATGCTGATGCTGCTGCTGATGCTGATGCTGTGACTGCTGACGATGATGACGCTGATGCTGATGCTGATGCTGATTATGATGATGACGGTGACGCTGATGCTTATGCTGATGCTACTGGTGATTGTGATGATGCTGCTGATGATGCTGAATGGTGATGCTGCTGATGATGATGCTAATGATGATGCTGATGATGCGGATGATGAGGATGCTGGCAATGATGACAATGACGATGCTGATGAGACGATGCTGATTGTGATGCTGCTGATGCTGATGCTGATGATGCCGATGATGATGAGGATGCTGACATGGATGATAATGATGATGCTAATGAGGCGATGATGATGGTGCTGCTGCTGCTGTTGATGATGCTGATGATACTGGTGATGCTGATGCTGGTGCTGGCGGCGACGATGGTGATCATGCTGATGACGACGACGATGATGATGGTACTGATGCTGATACTGGTGATGATGGTGATGATGTTGATTCTGATGGGGATGATGATGAGGAGGATGGCGTGGATGTTGAGGATGCTGATGGTGATGTTGCTGATGATGTTGATGCTGATGATGGTGATGCCGATGCTGACGATGATGATGCTGCTGATTTTGATGATGGTGATGCTCATGATGATGATGATGTTGCTGATGATGGTGATGCGGTTGATGCTGATGCTGAGGATGCTGCTGCTGATGTTGATGCTGATGCAGATGGCGGCTACGATGATGATGCTGATGCTGATTCTAATGATGCTGATGATGCTGATGATGATGAGGATCATGCTAACGATGAGGATAACGATGATGATGCTGATGATGATACTGCAGACGATGACGACGTATATGCTGATGACTCTGATGATGCTGATGTTGAGGAGGAGGGAAGGTGGAGGAGCAGGAGTATGAGGAGTAGGATGATGATGATGATGCTGTTGCCGATAACGATGAGGGTGATGATGATGCTGATGATGCTGATGATGAGGATGATGATGATGATGCTGTCGATGGTGATGCTGAGTATGATGATGCTGATGCTGATGCTGATGATGCTGATGCTGACGCGGATGCTGATGCTTATGAGGATGCTGATCCATATGATGATGATGCTGAGCATGATGACTCCGATGATGTTAATGATGATGATGATGCGGCTGCTGATGATGATGATTCTGATGATGAGGATGATGCTGGTTACGCTGATTCCGATGATAATGATGGTACTGCCGTTGCGGATGATGACGATACCGATGACGATGGCGACGCTGATGATGCTGATGATTATGATGATGTTGATGATGATGTTGCTGCTGAGACTGATGCTGCTGATGCTGATGCTGATGATGCTGATGATGCTACTGATGATGCTGATGCCGATGATGTTATTGACGATGACGATGATGATGCTGCGGTTGATGCTGATGCTGATGATGATGCGTATGAGTATGATGACGATGTTGATGCTGATGATGAGGATGATGTTGATGATGACGATGTACGATGCTGAGGATGACGATGATGTTGCTGATGATGATGATGATGATGATGATGATGATGATGATGATGATGATGATGATGATGATGCTGATGCTGATGATGATGCTGATGATGATGCTGATGATGATGATGATGATGATGATGATGACGGTGCTGCTGCTAATGATGATGCTGATGCCGACGACGATGATGCTGATGATGCTGATGATGCTGCTGATGGTGCTGATGGTGCACATGATGATGAGGCTGATGATGATGATGCGGACAATGGTGGTAATGCCGATGCTGATGCCGATGATGATGCTGCTGCTGCTGATGATGATGATGATGATGATGATGGTAGTGAGGAGGATGATGAGGAGCAGGAGGAGGAGGACGATGAGGAGGAGGAGGAGGAGGAGGAGGAGGGGGCGGGACGAGGATCCAGGATCAGCGATGACGATGCTGATGATGATGCGGATGATGATGACGACGATGATGCTGATGCTGATTATTCTGACGATGATGCTGCTGCTGCTGATGCTCATGATGCGGCTGCTGACGATGACGATGATGCTGATGATGATGATGATGATGATGCTGATGATGATGATCACGATGGTGGTTATGATGTTGCTGCTGATGTTGATGATGATGACGATGATGACGACGACGACGATGCTGATGGCAATGAGGAGGCTGATGGTGATGATGCTGATGCTGATGCTGATGATCGGTGATTCTATTGACGATGCTGATGATGAGGATGAGGATGAAGATGATGATGCTGATGCGGATGCTGCTGCTGCTGCTGATGATGATGATGATGATGATGATGATGATGATGATGATGATAACAATGATGATGCTGATGATGATGCTGATGCTGATGCTGATGCTGATGATGATGATGATGATGATGCTGATGATGATGCTGATGGTGATGGTGATGATGCTGATGATGATGATGATGCTGATGCTGATGCTGATGCTGATGCTGATACTGATGATGACGATGCTGATGCTGATGATGCTGCTGCTGCTGATGATGATGATGATGATGAGGGGAGAGGAGAGGAGGAAGAGGAGGAGGAGGAGAAGGAGGAGGAGGAGGAGGGACCAGATCGAGGATCGAGGATCAGTGAGGAGGAGGAGGAAGAGGAGGAGGAGGAGGAGGCGGGATGAGGATGGAGGAGAGAGGAGGAGGAGGAGGAATAGAAGGAGGAGGAGGAGGCAGAGGATCGAGGCTCAGGGAGGAGGCGGAGGAGGAGGAGGAGGAGGAGAAGGTTTAGGAGGAGGAGGCGGAGGAGGAGGAGGAGGAGGCGACACGAGGATCGAGGATCAGGGAGGAGGAGGAGGAGGAAGAAGAGGAATAGTAATAGTAAAAAGAATATGAAGAAAGCGAACAATCCGAATACTAAGAATACTTGGAACAGTATTATTCAGAAGCATGCTACGATTAAGACTACGAAGACTATGAATAAGTATAACAATACGAGTAATAACAACAATAACCATACATAGCATTAAACATTGATGATGTTACAAATAGTACTAGTAAGAAGGACAACACGAATATGACTATTAATACAACGAAGAAGATGAGTACTACTAAGACTAATAAGAAGCACCATGATGCGACTACTAATCATCATAACGCTAGTAAGCGTAATGAGGCAGATTATACCAATCATATTTGCAAAACGAGTAATAACACGAATAGTAAATTACCACGAATACGGTTGGTCATACGAGTAATTACACATTAATAATCAGAAGACCACGAATCATACATGTACCAATGATAACAAATACAAGACTAAGACGAATTTTACTAATACTAGTCAGAAGACACATATTAGTATTAAGAAGTCGAATAAGACGAGGAGGTGGAGGAGGAGGAGGTGGAGCGGGGAGGAGGGGGCTCAGGGTTCGAGCTCCTCTGGCGGTGGGGCTCAGAGAAGGACACGGTACTGATGCTCGCTCGCTACGCTTCCCTCGTTCTTTGTCGCTGGTTTGGGCCTCCTGGGGGGCCCTTGTCGCCACGGCTGGATTCGCGTCGAGGTCTGGTCAGAACGCACCCGGCGAGAGGTCCGCAGCAGCGGTATCCCCCGGGAGTGCAGCAGTCAGAGAGAGAGAGAGAGAGAGAGAGTCTGGTGTCTTTTGGTTTCCCCAGGAGCTGCGCTGCCGCGTTGAGGGCGTGCCCGAGGTCGGCGGCGCGAACGCGGGGGGCCATCAGGGGCATCGGTAGGGGGGATGGGCCAAGGGGGGGATGCGTGGGCCCTGAAGCGCCCATCGAGCACCGACGGGGGCCCGAATGTCCCCACCCCGCGCGTAGACGTGCGACGTGCGGATTCGCTATCGCGGGCCCATCGCTGATCAATCGGTGGTGTATCGCCGATTCCAGGTCGATGTTTCCCCTCTGAGCTAGTCCCATCCCGACGTTGCCCCACGCTGACGATGGACTGACGAGTTCTTGGCCAAGGCTGGACGCGGCCCGAAAAGCTGGTCAGGACGGCGCCCGTGGACGGATTCCGCCCCACGGAGCGATCCTTAAGGCAGCCCCCTTCTAAGGTTTCCCCCCGGCGTCTCTCCCCCCTCCGCTAGCGTTTCCTCCCGAACGTTTGCCCCCAACGGTCCCCCAAACGATTCCCCTGTCTTGACAAGAGACGAGGAAGAATGACGAATGAGGTGAGGGTGCTGGCGCATCCACGCTGACCTGTTTGCAGCTTCTAGTTTCGAAGAGGAGGAGGAGGAGAAGGAGGAGGAGGAGGAGGAGGAGCAGGAGGAGGAGGAGGAGGCGGAGGAGGATAGGGAGAAGGAGGGGTAGGATGATGATGATGATGATGATGATGATGATGATGATGATGATGATGATGATGATGAGATAGATGATGATGATGATGATGATTATGCATGATGGATGAGTGATGATGATAGATGTATGATGATGATGTTGATGATGATTATGATTATGATGATTAGATGTTGGATTATGATTTGATGATGATGAGATGATGATGATGATGATGATGGTAGTGGGTGGTGGTGGTGGGGTGGTGGTTATGATGAGGATGCTGTGATGATTGATGTTGATGATGAGGGAGGAGGAGGAGAGGTAAGGAGGATAGAAGAGGAGGCGGAGGAGGATGAGTCGGCTGGGGAGGAGGGAGAAGGAGCGGAGGGATGAGGAGGTAGGAGAGGAGGGGAGGAGAGGATGAGGAGGGGAGGAAGGAGGAGGATGAGGATAGGAGGACTGGAGTACTAGGGGAGGGGTGAGGAGGAGGATGATGAGAGGAGGAGGGAGTGAGGAGGAGGAGGAGGATGAGGAGAGGAGGAGGAGAGGAGGAGGTAGGGAGGAGGAGGATAGGGATGAGGAGATGATGAGTAGAGATGGGGTGGGAGTAGAGGAGGGGGAGGAGAGGATGCTGGAGGAGGAGGAGAAGGAGGGCGAAGGGAAGGAGGGGGAGGAGAGCGTTGAGGAGGAGGAGGGTCGATGCTTCCCCCTTCTGCGCCAGTGCCGCCCCCCCCCCCCCCTCTTATGCTCCCCCTCGGGCCAGGGCGAGGGCGGTGGCCTCCCTCACGTAGAGCGCGTGGGATGCTTCCCAGCGGGCCCCCGAACACTCGCCCTCGCGGAGGCCTCCGGGAAGGCTCCTCCCTCCCTCCCTGAAAGCAGGGAGCGCTCAGGTAGCGGTGCGGCCGCATCGGGAAAGGCCCCCCCCCCCCCCCTCGGATACGAAAGTGCACCCGCCATTTCATTGGCACAGCCGGCAGCTGCGGCTCTGGCCCCTGGCTCCCCCTCACATGCTGGCAAGTGATGTGTGTGTGTGTGTGTGTGTGTGTGCGTGCGCGCGTGTGTGTGTGTGTGTGTGTGTGTGGTGTGTTTGTGTCTTTGTGTTTGTTTGTGCTTGTTTGTGTGCGTGCGTGCGTGCGTGCGCGCGTGCGTGCGTATGTGTGTGTGTGTGTGTTTTTTTTTTGTGTGTGTGTGTCTGTGTGTGTGTTTCAAGCTGCGATTCGCCGCTGACTGCCGGCGTGAAGAGAGAGAGAGAGAGAGAGAGAGAGAGAGTGAGAGAGCGAGTGAGAGAGCGAGAGAGAGAATCAAAAAGTCACCCTCCGTCGGAGCTTGCACCAATTCGAGCACGGGCTGCCGTGGCCGCCCCCTCCGCCCCGGCCCTCGTGTTCGTGCGCCGCCGGAGAGAGGGCAGCGCGCCCGCCCACTTCGCCGGCGTCGCGCGCCTGGTGCTGCGGCAGGTCCTGGGCAGGAGACGTCAAGCGCACGCTCCTTCGCCCCCCACGTATCGCCCCCCAGTGAGCCGATGCCCCAGGAACCCTCCACAATTACTCAATATGAATACTACTCCCTCTTCCCCTGATGACATGCTGGGAGTGTTCGCCCCCCCCGCGTCCTGTTTTTTTACACACAGGATTCCCGGGAGTTGGGTTTTCGCTTGCATTTTTTTTCAAAATGCTGCTCTCGCTGAGGCGCGGGCCTCATTTTCGGGCCTCCGCTCGTTCCGAATCGTGTTCCCGCTGCAGCGCTGGCCTCATTTCCGCGCTTCCGCTCGTTCCGAATCGCGCTCCCGCTGCAGCGCTGGCCTCATTTCCGCGCTTCCGCTCGTTCCGACTCGTGCTCCCGCTGCAGCGGTGGCGTCATTTCCCGTGCCATGCCACGGCATGCAATGCAATGCTAGGTTGATGCTACGCTTTGCGGTGCTCTTCTACGCCATGCCATGCCGTGCTCTACGATGCATCGCGTACCCTTTCGGGATGATTGCCCTGCTCGACATCCGAGAGTGCGAGTAGAGAGGGGATCTACGCGATGGTAAGGGATGGGAGGGAGGGGTAGGATGTCAGATATGACGCGAGCGCACCTAGCTTGCCTCCCTCCCCTCCCCTCCTTCCCCTCCTGCCTCCCTCCCCTTCTTCCTCACCCTCCCCCTCTTCCCCCCCCTCTTCCCCCCCCCCTCCTCCCCCCCTCCCTCGCCCCTCCTGTCGTTCCAGTCGCGCTGCACGTCGCCCCCACCCCCCCCCCTCCCCCCCCCCCAAATTCAGCAATGCCCCAAAAACCCTCCGTCGTGATCTCTCCACGACGGGAGCAGCCGTCTGGGGCCGCGCCCGCCGCTCGTGCGCAGGGCGTGACGCCCGTGTCGGGGCGCATGTTCGAGCAGCACGAGGAGCTCGCCGCGGCAGCCGCGCTGGCCGGCAGGCTGCCCCGCGCCGCGCGCGTCGACCTGCCCAGGCTGCACTGCACGCTGCTGCTGCCTGCCCCCGAGGGCAGCGCCGAGCCCTCGGAGGGCGCCAACTGAGCTGCACGTTGGAGGGCTGGGCGAAGGGGCTCGAGGTCCCAAGCTGTCGGCCGTCCTCGTCGGCTCGCGGCCGTTTTCCGGCCTCGGGAGGTTCTCCGGCAGCGGCGCCTCGCCGCGGGCGTTCCGGGGGTGCCCGGGTCGTCCCGAACGGCCGCCGGAGAGCCGTTTTGCGACTTGGGAACCAGCGCTCTACTCCACCTGCGCTGATCCTGGCCAGGACAGTCCCGGGCCCAGGACAGGCGCACTGTGCTTCCCTCGCCAAGCCAGGAGGGGACGATTTTCTGACTATTTTGTTTTCTTTGGGGTGTATTTTTTGGACGAGTGTAATTTTTTCGTCCAGTATCCTCCTGTAGGAGGACATGCCCGACCTAAGCGTATACGCCTGTCCTGGGCCCGTGACTGTCCTGGCCAGGATCGGTGCAGGTGGAGTAGAGCGCTGGTTTTCAGGTCGCAAAACGGCTCTCCGGCGGCCGGGACGATCCGGGCACCCCCAGAACACCCTCGGCGAGGCGCAGCTGCTGGAGAACATTCCTAGGCTGGAAAACGGCCGCGAGCCGACGAAGACGACCGACAATTTTGGACCTCGAGCTCTTTCCGAAAGGTCTCGAGGTCCGAGTTTTTCGGCCGTTTCCGCAAGACTGGACGAAAGTTGTGTCCAACCCTCCAACATGTGCAGTCAACCCGCATAGTAAGGATGGGCGACCTTCCCAAGGGTGCCTTTGCATCCTTGTCTCCTCGGTCCATCCCTGGCCACTCGTTGGCCGCGCCTCGCTCGAAAAGCTTCGAAATGGGCGCCCAAGGCCCTCGCATCCTTACCGCGCGTCCTTATGATACGGGCCGACTGTACAGCGGGGGCCCATGCCAAGAAACACCCTGCTTGCCTCCAGGGTGCCCTGGGCTTCTTGGGTTTCGGTGGTTTTGCGATGGAAAGCGTGACACTCCCACATAAAAAAATCCATGGACGTCCTGGGGTCTCAGGGTTGGGGTTGGGTTTCTCGTGGAAGGTTTCTTGTGGACTGGCCTCCACTGTATGGTTGGTGCCCTCCTGCCGCACTCCCGGAGCTCGCGCCGCCGCTCCCGCACTGCTTCGCGCTGAGCAGGGCCGCGGCCGCGGACCCCGCCGCCCTGGCGGCCGAGGCCTTGGCACCGCCCAAACGTACTCGCGCTCGGGGCGTGGCGCGCAGCGTGTGCTCGATTCGAAGAAGCAAAAACGGCCTCAACACACAGTGGAGACCCATGCCAAGAAACACCCTGCCTGCCTCCAGGGTGCCCTGGGTGTCTTGGGCTTCGAGGGTTTGTGCTCTGGAAGGCGTGACGTGCCCACACCAAACATCAGTGGACGCCCTGGGGTCTCAGGGTTGGGTTCCGTGTGATAGGTTTCTTGTGGTCGGGCATCCACTGTAAACTTTCGGCGCTCCGCGCGGATTTCTTGGATCTGCGCTGGGGCCCCGCGCGCGTCAGGGAGGGGGGTCCAGGCCAGATCCAAGGAATCCGCGCGGAGCGCCAAAGGTTGATGTTTATACAGTTTTTTCTGCTTCTATCGATGCTTCCTTGCTCTCCCCTATCCCTTATCAGCGGCGAGCCTGGGGGAACTGAGAAGTGGCGGGCCTTCTCCGAAGGCTCGGAAGGCCCCTGGCCTTCCGAGAGGTGCTCTGAGCCTTCCCCGAAGACACGGTTAACTTCTCAGAAGGCGCGAGGGTTCGTGAGAAGTCCCGCCGCCTTCCCCCCCCTTCCTCCTCCTCCTCCTCCTGCTCCTCCTCCTCCTCCTGCTCCTCTTCCTCCTCCTCCTCCTTCTCACTCCTCCTACTCCTCCTCCTCCTCCTCCTCCTCCTCCTCCTCCCTCCCAGCGCTCGCCGTCGACCCCAGGGTCACCCCCCAGAAGAGATCACCGCGCTTTTCGCGCGCCGCGTCCTTGGGCCGGCCGGGTTGCCCTTTTCTCTCCAGGGGGCGGCGCGAGTGGGCGCTAAAGTATAACTCCGCGCGCCGCGTGGCGCGATTTGTAAGTCGGGCACATTCCTCTACAGGAGGGATATTCAAAAATAGCCAAACATAGTCTGGTGACGTGTTTTTTTTGTTCCCCCCGCACAATTTTTGAACTTCCGTCCAAAAACTGCCTGTAGGAGGACATGCCCGACCTAAGGCGCGATGCTCGATGTTCTGTGACCTAGCTCTTTGGGCGGCGGGTCGTCGGTGATCGCCCCTGCCCCGCTCAGCGCTCAGCATATCCGGCCCCAAACTTTCGGGTCGTTTTTGGAGGTCGCTGCTGCGACCGCGGCGGCCACACATCGGGACAAGGTTTTGTCAAAGGGTGGCATAGACTTAATTCGGGCGTGCCCCTCTACAGGAGGAGTATCCACAGATAGTGAAAAAAGTCAGGGGACCTTTTTATTGGGGCATTTGTATGAAATAGTTGTTGTCTATTTATTCCTCTCCCTCCAAAATCAGCCTGTAGGGGGACATGCCCGACCTGAATGTAGACGTGGCTCACAATCACCAATGTAGCGGCTGATAGTTGTCAATCGATCTCCAACATGGGCAATTTTATGTGCCAGGATCGGTTCTCATACAACCATGTGCTGTCAGCGCCCTTTGAGAAATGGATCAGCCGATCACGCTAAGTGCAAAACGTCGTAATGGAGGAGGACGCCTTCCAGTCCCGGGGGGCCGCCTTCGCATTGTGTTTGCCATACGAATGAAATCTGGGGGGGGCGAAGCTGATTTTTGAATCGTCCCCCCCCGCCAGATTTTTTGGTCGTCGCGTTGGCCGTTACGTATCCCGTCGGACGTCCTCCCGTCGTCATCGTCCTTCGTCGTCATCGTCGTCGTCGTCGTCGTCGTCGTCGTCGTCGTCGTCGTCGTCGTCGTCGTCGTCAGTCGTCGCCCCAGGCCTGCAGGCAGGACGCCCGCGCAGACCCCCTCCTTACCTCTATGCCATCCGAAGTCCGCCGTCGTCCTTGTCGTCGTCTCGTTCTTCGGGATTGCAGGACGCCCTCGCACCCCTCCGTATGCCATCCGCAGTCCTTCGTCGTTGTCCGTCGTCGTCTCGTTTTTCGGGAGTGCAGGACGCCCACGCGCCCACCCCCCTCCATATGCCATCCGGAGTTCGCCGTCGTCTTCGTTGTTGTTTCGTCCTTCGGGACCGCAGGACGCCCGCGCAGCCCCCCCATGTGCCATCGGCAGTCCGCCGTCGTCTTGGCTGTCGTCTCGTCCTTCGGAACTGCAGGATGCCCGCGCAGCCCACCCCCCCTGTATATCCGCAGACCGTCCGCCGTCGTCGTCCGTCGTCGTCTCGTTTTTCGGGACTGCAGGACGCCCGCGCAGCCCCCGCATCCGCATATGCCATCCGCAGCCCGCCGTCGTCGTCGCCGTCGTCGTCGTCGTCGTCGCCCCAGGGCTGGAGTGCTCCCACGCAGCACCCCTTCCCCCCCACTTGCCATGCCTCCCGAAGTCCGCCGCCGTCGTCGTCGTCGTCGCCGCCCGTCGGTCCTCGACCTCTCAGGACTGCGCGACGCCCGCGCCAGGGGGCCACGGGGCTGGTGATATTCCTTAAATCCCCCCCCGCAATTTTTCAGATCGTCCCCACAGCCTGGTCCACAACCAGCAGCGCGCACTAGCGCGCACCGCCCGCGCCAGGGGGCAGGGGGGTGCCTCTGACCACCCCGCGCAGCCGCCTCCGCCGCTCCCTCCGACTCGTCGTCAGGCCCCGGGCCTCCCCCGGCGTCTCCGACGAGCCCTCGCCCTGGGGGGCCAGCCTGGAGTGTCCCGCCCTCCGTGGGCCGAGCTCCTCAGAGCGCTCCTCTGGGGGCCACGGGGCTGGTGGCATTCCTGAAATCGCCCCCCCGCAATTTTTCAGGTCGTCCACAGCCAGGTCCACAACCAGCAGCGCGCACCCGAGGTGCACGCTAGGCGCTCCCCCCAGGCTCCCCCTCTGTGAAGCGAGATGTTTCAAGACGCTCCCCCACCCCGTCGTTTTTCCCAACCCATCCTGTGGTGTTGGGTCCTCGTTTTGAAGTGACAGCGCCCCGCGTTCCTTCCTTCCTTCCTCTCCTCCTCCTCCCCCTCCTACCCACCCCCCTCTCCTCCTTCCTCCCCCTCCTTGCTTCTGCTCTCCGCTCCCCCACCCAGGGCAGCGTTTCGTGGCCCCACAGGGAGCTCCACCGAAGGCCCCAGTGGGGTGCCCGCATGCGGTTCCCCAACCCAGGGCAGCGTTTCGTGGCCCCATAGGGAGCTCCACCGAAGGCCCCAGTGGGGGTGCCCGCATGCGGTTCCCGCGCCCAGGGCAGCGCTTCGTGGCCCCATAGGGAGCTCCACCGCAGGCCCTTGTGGGGGTGCCCGCACGCGGTTCCCCCACCCAGGGCAGCGTTTCGTGGCCTCATAGGGAGCTGCACCACAGGCCCCAGTGGGGGTGCCCACATGCGGTTCCCGCGCCCAGGGCAGCGTTTCGTGGCCCCATAGGGAGCTCCACCGAAGGCCCCAGTGGGGGTGCCCGCATGCGGTTCCCGTACCCAGGGCAGCGTTTCGTAGCCCCATAGGGAGCTCCACCGCAGGCCCCAGTGGGGTTGCCCGCATGCGGTTCCCCCACCCAATGCAGCGTTTCGTAGCCCTATAGGAAGCTCCACCGGCTGCCCCAGTGGGGGTGCCCGCATGCGGTTCCCCCACCCAGTGCAGCGTTTCGTAGCCCCATAGGGAGCGCCATCGAAGGCCCCAGAGGGGGGTGCCCGCATGCGGTTCCCCCACCCAGGGCAGCGCTTCGTGGCCCCATAGGGAGCTCCACCGAAGGCCCCCGTGGGGGTGCCCGCATGCGGTTCCCGTACCCAGGGCAGCGTTTTGTGGCCCCACTGGCCCCGCAGGGAGCTCCCCAGTGGGGGTGCCCGCATGCGGTTTCCCCGCCCAGGGCAGCATTTCGTGGCCCCATAAGGAGCTCCACCGGCGGCCCCAGTGAGGGTGCCCAGATGCGGTTCCCTCGCCCAGGGCAGCGTTTCGTGGCCCCACAGGGGGCTCCACCGCAGGCCCCAGTGGGGTTGTCCGCATGCGGTTCCCCCACCCAGGGCAGCGTTTCGTGGCACCATGGGGAGCTCCACAGTAGGCCCCAGAGGGGGTGCCCGCATGCGGTTCCCCCACCCAGGGCAGCGTTGCGTGGCCCCATAGGGAGGTGCTTGGTGGCCCCAGTGGGGATGCCCGCATGCGGTTCCCCACCACCACCACTGTGGCAGGCCCCTCACACAGTTCGTGGCCCCATAAGGGCTCCACCGAGGACGATATCGACAACTGCGGTACTCACAACTGCATATGGTTGGGTCCTTCGCCAGGCTGATTTAAGCCGTCCACAGCCAGGTCCGCAACCAGTAGCGCGCACCCGGTGTGCACGAGAAGCGCCCACCAGAGTTACACGCCAAGCCCCTCAAGAGGAGGTGCAGAGGGCGTGGGTTTGAGGGGTACATGTAGCGTGTACTTGTTGAACAGCCGTATGCCCAAGGCTACTCGCGCTAAGTTACCGTACGGGTCAAGCGTAACACCGCGTAGCGTGTACCCCGATGCTCTGCCAGTACACGCTTTGCGTCGCACCCTGACGATTGTGTGGCGCGGTCCAGACAGGCCCTTGCCTTCGAGGACCGACGCCGTCAACAGCATCCTCTTCGGCGGAGGGCGGCGGAAGGCCGGCCGAAGCTGGCGGAAGTGGAGCGAGGGCGGTTCCGCCAGCGAAGGGCCGACGGAGGCCGACGGAAGCAAAGGATGCGCCCCCCAAGACGTGGCAGCACTTTAGGGTCCGGGGTTTCCTGGAGCCCGCTGCGTGTGCGTCGGCCCCCCAGGGGCGGCGCGCGCGCGCGCGCTCAGACACCTCAGCTCGACAAAGAAGCAATGTGATCGTTCTTTTATTCCTCGTTCTGCCGATCGGCGCGGGCCCTCGCCCCCCCCCTATGGAGTGGAACTTGGCTGTTTTGGGCGCCTGTTTTGAGCAGGTGGAGTCTTAGGACGCACCGTTGCAAACAGTCGCCTTGAGCAGAGGTCCGGAGCCAGACCCCCCCCTCCCCCATCCCCTTCCGCCTAGTGTCGAAACGCCTAATAAGAAAACGATCACAGGCGACACCGGCGGTCCTCCATGTTGCGCGAGGGCCCATCGGGCGTCGCATGTGGCGTATACCACGCAGAAGCCCGCGTCAGCTTTCGGGGCACACGCTAAGGCCCCCTGGGGCCGTGGGTGGGGTGGTGCCGCTTGTTGTGTTGGTCCACTAGCGTGTGCTCGTTGGCGGGCGTTTTCTGGCCATACCTGCCAACCTCGGTTTGGCCGTAACCTAGGCTTAAACCCAGGTTATTACCTAGGCTGTAACCTGGGTCAGCGCCTAACCCAGGTTTAAACCTAGGTTCTAACCTGGGTTGTAACCTGGGTCAGCGCCTAACCCAGGTTGCAACCTGGGTTGTAACCTGGGTTGTAACCCAGGTTTGCTCCTGTAACCTGGGTTGCAACCTGGGTTGTAACCTGGGTTGTAACCTGGGTTTGCTCCTGTAACCTGGGTTGTCACCCAGGTTGTAAACCTACCGGGGGTGGCCCGTACACGGCACGACGTCTGTGCGAGTGCGCTCTCGTCTCGGGCGTGCGCCTCCCCAGAAGGGGCGGAGCGCACGCACTGCCGGTGGGCCCCCCTGCGTCCCAGAGGCCCGCGTCTGGTCGCGGCTGCTGAGCGCGGCGCGGCGCGCTGGCCCCGGGCTCCCGCGCGCGAAGAAGGACGGTCGGTCACGCGCGGCCTCTGCCCCGGCTGCTCATCAGCTTGGTCGCCCCCCATCCTCTCTCCTGGCAGGTTTTTTTTTGTTGTTGCCGTCTGCTTCTTGATGCTCTGCCGCTGTCGTTGGTCCGTGGTGTGGGCCTGTGTGTTCGTGCTTCGTGTTTTGGTGCTTGTAGCTGTTCCCCCTTCTCGCCCCTCTCTCTTTCTCTCTCTCCTCCCCCTCTCTCTCTCTCCTCCCCCTGTCTCTGTCCCTCCCTATCCTTCTCGCCGCGATTCCTGGCTCCTCAGGCGGGTTGGCCCCAGTGCCGCGGCGTTTGCCATCGTCCATCTCGACGGCCCCTCCCTTGCTCCGGACTTCGGCAGCCGCACGTGGCTCCGGCTCCTACTTCTGAGGTTGATAGACCTCCTGCCCTGACGCGTCGATCAGCGAATTGGTCGTTTTCGCTTCGCGAGAGGGCGTCGCGGCCGTCATTTTTGCGGGTCCAGGTCCGTCGGTTTCGGTCCCAAGCCGTTCTTACTGAAGGGTGGTTTACTAAAGGGAAGTTTGTCCACCGCCGACTACCGCCCGTCGAGGTGGACCTCTTCGGGATACCCCGGTGGGGATCCACCCTGCTCGTGCCCAACATTCGATTGCGAAGGCCTGACGGCCGGTGCCGCCGACCCTGAAGAGGACCACGACGTCGGCGACGAAGTGGGCGGAAACGGAGGCCGTGGAAGATGAGGAGGAGGGGGAGGAGGGGGAGGAGGGGGAGGAGGAGGAGGAGGAGGAGGAGGAGGTAGGAGGAGGAGAGGAGGAGGAGGAGGCGGCTCGTGCCCGATGTCGATTCTGAGCCCCTGGGGGGCAGGCTCCGCGCGCGGACTGCCCAGCGCTGGCTGGGGAGGCAAGGGCAGGCTGGAATGGTGGAAGGCCCTCGAGATGTGTCCCCAGCGGGTCGCGGCGGCCGGGGCGGGGAGCCGAGACCGCCTTCCTCTCCCCACCTCCTCTCCTCCTTCCTTACTCCTCCTCCTCCTCCTTCCTCCTCCATCCTCCTCCTCACTCCTCCCCTCCCTTCCCCTCCCCCTTCTTCTCCTCCCTCCTCCTCCTCCTCCACCTCCTCATTCCTCCTCCTCCCCCGCCCCCTCCTCTCCCCCCCCTCCTCTCCTCCTCCCCCTCCTCCTCCTCCTCTCCTCCTCCTCCTCCTCCTCCTCCTCCTCCTCCTCCTCCTCCTCCTCCTCCTCCTGCAACCTCAGCAGCAGGTGCTGGGCAGTGTCGCGTCAGTGACCCAGGGCCCATGGCGAGCGAGAACACCGGCGGGCGACGAGGGCGAGCAGATCGAGGGGCAGCAGAGGGGCAGGGCTCGCGTGAGGCGCTCCAGAAACGGCCTTGCCTTCGAGGATCGGAGGAGTCGTCATCTCTTCTTCGGCGGGAGGCCGCGGAAGGGCGGCGGGAGGTCGACGGAAGCAAAACGAGGGCGCCTCCGCCGGCGGAAGCCGGCGGAAGGCCAGCGGAAGGCGGCGGAAGTAGAAGGTGCACCTCCAAAAGATGAAAACGTTTTTGGGCTCAGGGTTTCAGGAATCGCTCATGAGTGCTCGGTTGCAACTCCTGGGAGGTGGAATCCGGCATTTGCGCTGGTACATCCGCGGTCGAAGACCGGCATAATCCAGCATAGTCCCGCTTGGTATTGCTTGATATCGCTTACAGTCGGCCCGCATAGTGAGGATGGGCAACGTTCCCAAGGGTACCCTTGCATCCTTGCCTCCTCGGTCCATCCTTCGCCACTTTCGTTGGCCACGCCCCACTCGAAAAGCTTCGAAATGGGCGTCCAAGGCCCTTGCATCCTTATCGCGCATCCTTACTATACGGTTCGACTACAGTCGGGCCCAATCCGGCTAAATCTGGGCTCATTTCGCTCAGTTGCCCCGAATCGTTCTCACGAAGACCCAGCAGTTCCCTCCTGAGGTGCGGGAAGGCTCAGGCTCGAGATGAAGTTTCGGGTTCGAGGTCTGATGCGTTCCGACGTTTTCGTCGGACGTCGGTTTCTTCGCCTCGTGAGGCCTTCCAGCGGCTGCTCCTCGTGGACAGCGTTCCGGGGCGGAGGGCCGAGCCATGACCCGAAAGCCAGGCGGTATCTGCAGGGGGGGTTAGGCTCAGGGGGTGAGGCATCGACCCCCAGTCGCCCATGGCGCGTCCAAGCTGACGGGCGAGCAAGTCGAGTGGCAGCAGGGCCAGAGCCCACGTTGTCGCTTTGTGCCGTTTCTCTCCTCCTCCTCCTCCTCCTCCGCCTCCTTGTCCTCCTCCTCCTCCTCCGCCTCCTTGTCCTCCTCCTCCTCCTCCTCCTCCTCCTCCTCCTCCTCCTCCTCCTCTCCTCCTTCCTCGGAGTCTTGGCGTCAGTTTGTCGGTCGCTCTGCTTGGTCCCAGCTGCGACCGCTCAGATTGCCACTGAGTTCTTACCCCCGCGTGGCGATGTTTTGCCGCGGCTTGCAGTGCACGTGTCTCGTTGCGCTCGCTTGTCCGTGCGTCGCGCGGATGGGACAGCCCTCCGGCGGGGCAGTGGGCTGCTCAATTTTCTTCGCTGGCTGCCCCCCCACTGAGGAAGATGCAGGGGCAGAGCTCACGTCGGGGGTGGACAGACTTCCTACCCTGACACGTCGATTAAGGAATTGGCCGTTTTCGGCTCGCGAGAGGGCGTCGCGGCTGTCATTTTTGCGGGTCCAGGTCCGTCGGTTTCGGTCCCAGGCCGTTTTCACTAAGGGGAGGTCTACTAAAGGGAGGTTTGTCCACCGCCGATCACGTGGGTCGTTCCAGAAAGGGCCCCTGCTTCGAGGATCGAGGCAATTTGGCGCCTCGCCCTCGGCGGCAGGCGCGGCAGGCGGCGGCAGCAGAACGAGCCCGCCTCCGCCGGCGGAAGGCAGGCTCGGGCGGAAGGCAGGCGGGAGGCCGGCGGCAGCCGGCGGAGGCGAAGCGGGCATCCCCGAGAGATGGCAGCACCTGTGGGCTCAGGGTCTCCGGAAGCGGCCGGAGGTTGATATGGGCCTCCTGCCCTGACGCGCCGATCAGCGAAGTGGCCGTCTTCGCTTCGCGAGGGGGCGTCGCGGCCGCCCTTTTTGCCGGTCCAGGTCTGTCGGTTTCGGTCCTAGGGCGTTCTCACTAAAGGGTGTTTTGCTAAAGGGAGGTTTGTCCATCGCCGACTACCGCCCGTCGAGGTGGACATCTTCGGGATACCCCGGTGGGGATCCACCCTGCTCGTGCCCAACTTTCGATTGCGAAGGTCCGGTCCAGGTCCGCTGGTTTCGGTCCCAGGCCGTTCTCACTAAAGGGTGGTTTGCTAAAGGGAGGCTTGTCCACCGCCGACTACCGGCCACGCGTGGCCGCCCCCAGACGGGGATGGGACGAGGACGGAGCTCGACTAGATGTAAGAGTGACCTTTCGCCAGAGTGACCTTTGGTGCGGGCACAGATGGGTCCCCAGGTGGCTGAAAACGAAGCAGGAGCAGCGGCTTGCGCGCCCAGGCTTGGTCCCCCCGCGGCCCCCCAAAAGCCGCGCACCAAAGGTCACTCTTACCCAGGGTCACTCTTGCGTGTAGCCGAAGAGCCTTCCCAGAGCTTTCCAGAGCGCTCTCAGAGCGTTCCGGAACGCTGCGAGACGGCCGCGGCGCCCGGGACGTCCTCCAGAGCCGCGGGATCTCAGAGGTTCACGACCGATCAGTAAAGTCGGACGTGTGCCGTAGTGTCAAAAATAGTCAGGTGACGAGTCTTCGATTCTCGTTCGAGCATGTTTGAGCATTTTTTGTTTTTTTGTTTTTTGTTTTTTGTTTTTTTCATTCTTCTTCCAAAAGCCGCCTGTAGGAGGACATGCCCGACCTGAACTTACCATTACCCGATGTTGCCCGCGTCCTGGCTCCGTGGCCGCCCGTCGCCACCCACCAGACCACCCCAGCCCGACTCGAAGGCCCCGGGTCTCCCTCCTTTCCCAGCGGGGAGCCTCGAAGAGACACCTCCGGGATCCGTACCCCCCCACCCCGAAGTCTGGGTCTTCGGGTTGAGCTGGGGTGGCCCGGTGCAGTCGCACCGTGGTAATCATAAGATCGAGGTCGGTTCGGGGAGGCTGCCCTCGTGCTCTTCGTGCTCGTTGGATGGATGTTCCTGTGCATCCTGGGGAGGGCACCCTTGGATGTCCTGTGCGTTTTGGCCGACGGAGGGTCTCATTAGGGAAACAAGCACTGACATAAGCATAAAAACCCGGAGGTCCGCGCGGATTTCTCGGATCGGCGTTGGACCCCCCTCCCTGGCGCGCGGAGCGCGCCAAGAGGGCGGCGCCGGAGGCGCCGCCAGGGGGCCCCAGCGCCGATCCGAGAAATCCGCGCGGACCTCCGAGTTTTTTATGATCATGTCATTCTTCGTTCCCCTGCTCGTGTTCTCGAGGCGTGCTCTTCTGGCCCCAGGGTCCAGCTGCAGTTACGGTGGGGGCATTCGATGAGGAACGTGCCCAGCGGGCTCAGACCCTGGAGGGTTCCTCATCTGATGTGGGCGGCGGTGATGTCCATGGCCAATCCACGATTGGATTTCCACTGGCTTCCAGACCCTGGATTCCTTGTCGAAGGTCTCCTGATCCAATGCCGCCGCCGGTAATGGCCGGCCCCCCGGAGGAACGCACGGCCTTCGTGGCGAGGGTGGCCGAGCAGCGCGCGGCGGCGTGTCGGGCCGCGGCGGCCTCCGCGGTGGAGCTGGTGCTCCACTGCGCCGAGGACGCGGCGGACCGGGAGAGGCTGCTGGAGGACGTGAGGCGGCCCGGGCATTCGACTGCACGTAAGAGTGACGCTTCGCCGGAGTGACCTTCGGTGCGCGCCCACTGGGGCACCCCGAGCGCCGAACGCGAGGCGGCAGCGGCGGCTCGCGCGCTTGTGTTTGGCCCCCCCGTGGCCGCAAAAAGCCGCGCACCAAAGGTCACTCTTACCCAGGGTCACTCCTGCTTGTAGCCGAGGTATTCCTGGATCGCCAGCTTATCATTTTCGCCTCTCTGCCGTCCTCGGCCTCCTCCTGCTGCTGCTCCTCCTCCTCCTCCTCCTCCTCTCCTCCTCCTCCTCCTCCTCCTCCT